GCCATTGAATGTTTCTTGCGTTCGCCCATTAATTCTTCCTTGAATAATTTTGATGCTTCCCTCTGCTCCTCTCTGGTGACAGGTGAGAAAATGGGGGGAAAATCTCTCAGTTCTTCGTTCCCATTCAGAGCCTTCATTTCCTTGCTCAGTAAATTCACCTTATTCTTCTGAAGGTGCCATGGGTTGAAACAAACTAATGCCACCTGATTTTACCTCACGAAAGAGTTTGCCAAGGCAGGGTTTGTCAATCTTGGCAACTTAAAGACGTGTGGACTTCAACTCCCAGAATTCCCCAGCCACCCGTGCTTAGCTGTGGACTTCTGGGAGTTGAACTCCACACGTCTTAAACTTGCCAAGGTTAAGAAACCCTTAGCTAAGGGGAGATTTTGACACTCTTTTCTGGAGAGTTTATATAGTCAATGGTGCTTGGTTACAATAAATTTTGGTTTCCGAAGTAGTGAAAAAAATGGGCTGATTAATGTCCAGCATAGGCCTTCATACCACAAAGAATACCAATTCTTCCTTCAGTGGCATCATTACATTTTTCTTTGTTCCCTTGATGGGCAATTCCTTAAATAGCTAACATTGGTAACTTCTGGTGTAAATAATTTATTTATTTTATTTATTTATTATGTGGAATATCATCCCTGCAGAAATAAGATTGACTCCCACTTTGACACGGTTTCAAAAGGCCCTGAAGACATGGTTTTGCCAACGGACCTGGGGACCCCAGAGCAGTGGTGGGATTCAGACAGTGGTGGGATTCAAATATGTGAACAACTGGTTCTCTGTGTGGATGCCGCTTCCGGAAGTCCATTCTGGGCCTGGGCAATAAAAAATTAACTACCGGTTCTGCCAAAGTGGTGCGAACTGGCTGAATCTCACCACTGCCTCCGTCCCTCTTTTCCTTCCTTCCTTCCTTCCTTCCTTCCTTCCTTCCTTCCTTCCTTCCTTCCTTCCTTCCTTCCTTCCTTCCTTCCTTCCTTCCTTCCTTCTTTCATTCCTTCCTTCCCTCCTTTTGCTATCTCTCTTATGCCTTCTTCCAGTGGTGGGATTCAAATATGTGAAAAACTGGTTCTCTGTGTGGATGCTACTTCCGGAAGTCCATTCTGGGCCTGGGCAACAAAAAAATTAGCTACCGGTTCTACTGAACTGGTGCAAACTGGCTGAATCCCACCACTGCCCCAGAGTAATATAGAGCGCATTACATGTTTGGTCTGATTGTTCTGACCAGGGAGATGGGGATTTATTGGCTTTTATGTTAGGGTTTTACAGGTTGTCCTCAACTTACAACAGTTCATTGAATGACCACTTGAAAAGGGATGTAAAAGCGGGCCTGACCTAGGGAGGATTTTAGGTAGGGATAATTTTAAAAGTATTTTAATTGGAAACACAGCTGGTAATATTTGGTTTTAATTCGGCTTTTATCGGGGTTTATTTTTTTGTATTTTTGTATTTTGCATTTTTTGTATTTTGTGTATATTATTTGTTTTTAATATGCTGTGAACCGCCCTGAGTCCTATGGGAGAAGGGCGGTATACAAATTAAATTATCTATCTATCTATCTATGACCATTTTTCGCAAATTCGGGTCCTTGGCGACTGACTTATATTTATGATGGTTGCCATGTCCTGGAGTCATGTGATCACCTTTTGGGACTTTCTGACAAGCAAAGTCAATGGGGAAGCCAGATTCACTTAACAACCATGTTACTAACTGAACAATGGCAGTGTTTCACTTAACAACGGTGGCAAGAAAGGTTGTAAAATGGGTGGGGGGCAAAACTCATAATGTCTGGCTTAGCAACAGAAGTTTTGGGCTCAGTTGTAAGTCGAGGACAACATATATTTTTGTAAGTGATCATTAATGAGCTGGGCAGCCATGTAAATTTTCTTAATAAATAGGTTGATGGATTGATGGACTGATGGATTGATAGACTGATAGATTGATAGTTTGATGGATTGATAGATTGATTTTAAGGTCAGTATCAGCAGAAGTCTTTTCCCAACCAATGTGTGATCATTTGGTTATTTCTAGAGTTTTAAGAACATGAGCATTAGGGCAATCAAAAATGGAGACAGTGGGCAACTGGCAAATATTCGAACAATTGAAATAATTTCTGGCCATCGAGGTCATCTGGGAACAGAAGAAGAAGGAAAAGTCAACATATTGGTCCTGTCTTGCCCCTTTCTATATGGAAACACTTTGCTGGCTTCATGACAGCTTCAGATTGACTTTTCTGACCATGAACCCCTTATAGAATTGGCTATTCAAGACCTATTGTGAAATAGAGGTGGGATATGGTGGACTTTTGAACTGGCACCAAAATTTTCTTGCCAACTTACTCTAAAAGTTATTTACCCAACTTACCCTAAAAGCAAAAGATCTGGGAAAGTTAAATGCTAAGCTAAACATTTCAACTGCCTTTTTCTCGAGTCCAGAAGAGGGGATTATCTGCTAAACTTTTAAAGTCATGGATCAGGAAATAGAGCCTGTCAGAAAGCAATACGATATGTGTTGTAATCACAATATACTACATATGCTCTATATACATGCAATAACTTCCTGGGATACAATTATGCTATATATGCAGAATCATATGATACATTTATATGACTGGCCACCTGTTCCCTTTCTTTTCAGAAACATCTAGTGTGAAAATTCACACCACAGTTCCTGCTTCAGGTATGCTGTACACCTACAAAATATTCATTTTTTTAAAAAAAGGTTACTCCTCCAATTTATAGGGCCACCTGATTCAAAAATGACACTGAGCAACTTCGGATAGATTTAAAGTCCGACAAAACCCACAAAAACAAGGCAATTGGCAACTGTGGACCATCACTCTATAAAACCTCTCCTAGCAGACCTAATGCCTAATGGGAAGAGACTGGCCTTCAGTCTCTTTCAAAAGAGTAGGTGGACGCCACAATGGAAAATGTGTTTTTCTTGGATCCCATCAGGGTGGCATTGGGTGATGGATGGCACCTGAAACCTGCTTATTGTGCTGGATCAGGGGGAGCAGGCAAAATGTTCATTGCTATAATGGTATATTATATTTTGTTCCTTCTCTTTTCTATTGTATTTTTCATTTTTTTTTTGCATAGTTTTTAATGCATTCGCTTTGTCATTATTTTAATGTTTTGTTTCTTTTCTCCTTTTTCTGTTATTTTCTTAAAAGCAATTGAAATGTTTTTTTTTAAAGGTGAGCCAGGCAGAATGAATAGGAAACAGGCAATTGTGCAATATATCCACTTCCAGAACTAACATATTAAAAATAATTATTAGGGATGGAACAGAAAGCAAAACTGTTTTTCCTGTTAAATAAGTGTCATGACAAATTATCTATTTGTATTCGACACAGCTGCTGATTTTCCTGTTCCAAGCCCTCAATGACTGAACAATGATTATAGAATAACAGAGTTGGAAGGGACCTTGGAGGTCTTCTAGTCCAGCCCCCTCTTCAAGCAGGAGATCCTTTATTATTCCAGACAAATCATTGTCCAATTTCTTCTTGAAAATCTCTAGTAGTTTCCTTGCAAGTTTCTCTGCAACTAAACTTCTTTCAACCAGCACCATCCTACCTTTTCTAAATCCATAAAGCTTTGATTTCATTTAAGAGAAAACTGGATTTTTTTTTTCCAGGGCAGAAATTACATCGATAACTTTCCCGAAAAATAGCTTATTTGTCAGTACACAGATTTGCATCCCTTCAATGCTTAGAGAATGGTTGATATGGTTAAAATTTTTAAAGGCCTGTTTTTTTGTTTTTTTTTAAGAATCACATGTCTCTGTAATTTGGTGGTTTGCCAAGTCTGTTTCAGCAGGGCAGTTTTGATTTCCAGGCTGCAGAAAAAGCAAATGAAACCCCAAACTTAAAGAATATCATTCTTTTAATTTTTTTCTGCAGAGCTTCAATACCTGAGGACCAAAGAGACTCAGTTAACTGACATGACTCTGGCAGATGGTTGGTGCCTGTTCTTCTCTTTCCCTTGTTTCACGTTTCTCTCGTTTTCTCCCAGATTAAGAGATTGTTCAGCAAGGGAACTAAAGGGGGTCTATGATACTATCAATTAAGGAAATGCCCGTGGATTTTTATATCGTTCCTTTTTCAAAAGACTTGGCGGAATCCCGCTTTTGTAGAAGCAACGAAGCTCCTAAAATTGAAATTCAGGATGAACAAGTGGAATAAATGTTGATCAGGTTTACAAATGGCTGCCAAGCTGGCCGAGATAGCCGAGACCTTATGAACAGATGTAAAATTCTATTTTAAATGGACAGGTGATCCCGGCAGGTTAACATTTTGACTCCAAATTGATCAAAAAGAACAGAATGAAGCCTAACAGGGACCAATACAAAGTTCTTTATTTTCCAAGAAATAAGGAACTATGTACTTTTTCTGCATTAGTGGTAGATAGATTTTAATATATTATATATCTTTATCATTCCCTATCCAACTTAAGGGCAACAATTTACACAAATCACTTTAAAGTTGTTTTGTTGCTTTTTTTTCAAACCTGATTGTCAACTCTTTTGAATATTTTACAGAAACAAATAAATGTGCAGAGAAGTCCAATGCATACTGTGGGTGTAGCTTGGGGATTACTGCATATGGGTTACTCTTAATACATGTGAAAAATTATTGGATCACAAGGTGACATGAATCCACAGGGGGACATATTGTGAGCCAGTTTAGGGTAGTGGTGAAAGTGCTGGCCTAGAAACCAGGAGACTGTGAATTCTAGTCCCACCTTAGGTATGAAAGTCAACTGGGTGACTTTCGACCAATCATCGGGAGACTGTGAATTCTATTCCCGCCTTAAGTATGAAAGCCAACTGGGTGACTTTGGGCCAATCATTAGGAGACTGTGAGTTCTAGTCCCACCTTAAGCATGAAACCCAAGTGGGTGACTTTGGACCAGTCACCAGGAGACTGTGAATTCTAGTCCCGCCTTAAGCATGAAAGCCAGCTGGGTGACTTTGGGCCAATCACCAGGAGACTGTGAGTTCTAGTCCCACCTTAGGCATGAAGGCCAACTGGGTGACTTTGGACCAATCACTGGGAGACTGTGAATTCTAGTC